CAAGAGCGGACGGGGAGAAGGGGTGGTCGGAAGCCAGCCGGGAAGAGAGTGGTGTGCGGCCACGCCGGGGAAAGGGAACAAAGCCGCTCAAAGTCCAGATACGGAAGGCGCCTGTGCTGTTACACTGAGGGGAGCTCGTTTCAGAAGGATGAAAAACGGTAAGAGGGTCAGTACCACGTAAAAAAAAAAACCTGGAGAAAAATGTATTGAAATAAGAGAGAGAGGTGCTGAATAAACATAATTGTTTCATGGATTTGTTTTCCATTAAATAGAAATATTTGATATATACCTCTTCTTAAATAGACATGTTTAAAGTCTTACCTATTTTTTCGTACAAGACATCTGTACCTTTTTCCAGCTTCTGAAATAGATCACTTATTTTCACCAGCTACCAGTCTTTTTTGAATGGTCTCATACGCCCGTTTTTCCTTCAGAAGTCAACAGTTGTGTGGTCATACATTGTTAACCTATGTCATCAGACAGCGCTGTCAAACTTCGGCAGTGCCCTTTTCTTCCTGACTGATCCCTGATTCCTTCGTGGTTATATGTTGTGGCTGCTGACGCAGACAGGGTCTAGTAGAGCCTGGAATAGTTTGTGCAGAAGGTCTCATCAGACAAAAGCCCTGAGCTCGGTGAACTGCCCTACTCTGTGTTGGCACCAAGGCCAATATGTTCCCATTTCTGTTCCGGAGTTGGTGTTTAAATAAAGAAAATAAATAAATAAATAAATCTCAACTCCAAAGTATTCTTTAAAGTAACTCTTTAGCATTCTCCCAAAATACTTGGCAGTGTTAGGACTCTCTCCAAAGGCACTGAGCGTTGTGAGAACAAGATTAAAGTAGCAAAATCAAGAAGACAGCCAAGACTGAGCAGACAAAGTAATGTCGAAGGGGCTGCGGAGAGGGAATTGGAATTTGAGGGAAGAACACAGAGGAACTAGAGTTAATGAAGAAAAAATCAGGAAAAAGAGGAGAAGGCAACAGAGGAGCAGGAGAATGTTAGATGGGAGAGGGTGTGTGGAGGTGGTGGCAGAGTAGAGGCAGCTAAAGCATGAGCCGTGTTGGAGGGCGGCAAGTGACAGGCAATTCGGAAGGAGCACGAATTCAGTGTTTGGCAAAAAGCAGATCAAAAAAAGTGACAGTACTTTATTGAGTCCAGAAATGTTGTTCAAATGAGAATTTTTTTGGTAAAAATAGTGAAAGACTCTTACTGTAATCAGAACAGACATCACTCCGGAAATGGGATAAAAGTGAAAAGAGTCGGTACAAAGGAAAAGAATAGCTGCAGGAAATGTTCTTTTAAGAATATGGAGTCACTGGAAATAGGAAACTGATGTTGACTGTGATTTGTACAGGTTAGGAAACTGTTGTCACAGTCCTCACAGCGAATGCAGTCCAAAAAGACTGTAAGGCGTAAATAGGAAACACAGGCTGTTTCCTATAACCTTTATCAGATATGAAGTGGGAATTCTAGTGGGAGAGCTTGGATTTTGTTGAAAGGAGATGGTGCGGGAAAGCAAGATGAAAAGGTAAATTGCCAGCCTTGGCTTAAGAAAACGTGCCAGGGGAAGGTAGACAGCGGAGAACAAGCTGTAACAAGAACTTGTAAGAGCAAGGCTAGCAAGGGAAAAAATAGCACTGAGGAGACTTCCAAAACACCATTAATGCACACCTGAGAGGTGAGTGCTCAGTCCCCACGTGCATAAAAGAAGAGCAAACGTTGACGTTTAACTGCCACGGTGAAAGCAAAGCTGACAGTAATGAGAAGACAAAGGAAAGATGGAAGGTGCCTGCTGAGACTTTTCTCCCCAGAGAAAAGCGAGGCCGTACAGACGCAGATCTGAGTCTCAATTCCCAGAAGTATTTTGAGAGAAATTAGCTTGGTTCAGGAAAACAAAAAAAAAAAGCAGATGTTCAGTTCAGATAGAAATTCTAATGGCTGTCAGCAAAAGGTCAGTTACTCTGGCTAATGCTGTACTGCAGACTCAAGAATATCCTAACTGCAGTTTCCAGTTCGAAATTTGTTTTATTTGCATTTCTTCTCGGTAGGCATTTTGTTAACAACATTCAGTATCTTTATACATTGCAGATTGCAATACACATCCAGAAACCAGACAGGTTGCATTTCATCCACCGAAGTGATGAAAATTTCATCAGAAATGGAGCATTCTTTGGTTAAATAAGAACAGCAGTTCAAACTAGCTGTGCTTAAATCCTGTACATGCATTACATTTGCACAAATTAGCAAAAAGTGAGAACCCAAGTTTAGAACTTTGTCTTCCTTTTTTCAGCAAGTATACAGACATGACTAAATGCGTCTCTTAAATATTGCAAAACCACAGTTAAAGTTTTAAATAATACACATTGCACAACAAGCTTTTTGGGGGAAGCTACAGAAATAACTAAAATACCGAACACATGGAAATAAATTACACATCAGCTAGTTGAAATGCTTAACAAATTCATAAGGGCTTATCAAGACCTTTTATAAAAATGCTTATTTGATCTAGTAGTTAAAGCACAACAAATAAATAGGATTTTTGCTATTGACTTGAACTGAAGCAAGGTCAGACCCTTTACAGTCTCAAGGAACTATGATTTTATCATGATATCTCAGTTACACTCTTCGGGTTAAAAGCTTTAACAAACATCACTTGCCACGTGATGACCAATGTCACTTGAGACATTTGTCAGTTTAAACAAAAATTGGAACTACTATAGAATTAATAACATAAAGCCCAGTTAAGCAAACTACCATCTCCTCCCCTTTTTTTGCTCCAGAAAATTCCATTCAAAACCTGCAGGTCATATTTTTGATGAATTTCCACAGACTTTCAAGGACTTTTATGGTAGCTATTCCTTGAGAGAAGGAAGCATGAAATGAGAACGGGTGATTTAAGACGGCATTTCTACCTGAAGCCCCTTTTGTCACTTTACATGCCATTGCCGTTTCATGTTTTGAGGTTCTGTCGAGAGCCTCACGGCAGGTCCGTATAGAAAAGCTGCTTGATTAATGTGTCAATGTACAATACAGAAGCTTCTCCAATTAATCTAGGTGTGCAGGAGGCAGCCTATAGCAGGTAGGGTGGTGTAAATTCAAAACCTGTCATAGTGCGCACTAACTTCTTAAACAGCTGAAGCTCTCCTAAACATCGTTGATACAATCCCTTACTGCTTTAAGGCAAGAGTGTTAGTAAGTTAACGGATAGGACATAGGACCATGTCACCGTTACCAGGCTGTCTAAGGATGTAAGTGATGTTGTGAGTATAGTAACAGCAGCATTTCTAAAATCTTCCTGTCTTCTTCAGCTTGTTTAAACATTAAGCTTGTACACTGGATCTGCTTAATCTGTGTTTGTGTGTGTGTTTAGGGGCGGGGGGAGATAAGTGGCAGTTCAGGTGTCTCTGGGAATCGTAGTGAAGTGGGATAATGAAACATGTAACTAAAGTTGCACAGAAATGTTAGACCTGTGGAGATTCCCTTACAGGGTCTAGTGCTCTGCCTGTTGAACTCAGTTTTAAAAGTCCCAGCTCACGGTGCAGGCTGGTGTCCAGAGCTCGGGTGCCCTCCCAGGGATGCTGGAAGACCTTCCCCACAGGCACAGAAACCCCATCTCAACGTGTCGCTTTCTTAATGTAACAGGGAGAACAGCCGTATAATTTGCAAACTGCGTAATGTCTTGGCTGGTTAGCCGTGGGACCTTTCTTTCTGTGATATCCTTAGGAACTGCAGAATAAGTTTACCAAGACATCTAAAGAAAGGGCTGAAGGTGAATAAAATACCTTTGAACTCTTTTGGTATTATCACGAGATGCCTATTCATAATGTGTTTGCAACAAAGTTTGCACTTTCCACACTAGGAAAATGAGTTTTACATGGCCTGAAATATCTACCTATCTTTAGGCTTCTTTGAAAAATAAATTCATGAACAAGCCCTTTAAAACTTGGTGAGGAAACAGAGTTAAGGGACTGGCTCCACCCCTAGGCGAGTTAGTGGTGGTTTACAAAAATGTGTTGCACAAATGAATTAAAAATAAAACAGTGGCTGGAGAAGGGATGCAAAAAAATTGGGACTACAGGCCATTAAAAATACTTTTCCTGTCTCATTACAGGAACAGGCTAGCTGAGAACATTTACTTAAATTCTTCTTATGAGAATGTTTATACTTGCATTGGGATAATCCTTGTGGGGCTGATTTGGTTTGTGCCCTTAATGTGTTTAATCAGCTTTGTGTCAGTGAGAGACAAGTTATACTGGAGCCGTGTTGTTTGAGCTGATCGCATTTTTTCTACTAAAAGAGAGAATTTCTACTCAACTTCCAAGTGAAATATCAAATTAGATAATTAGGGAAAAGCACATGTAGAAAATATAAGTTAGCAAATGAGGACAGCTTTAGCAAAATATTTTTTTAAAACTTAAATATCTAAATTTGCAGCTATTAATTTATCTTTGAGTACTTACAAATCAAGGGAGACCAAGCAGCAGTAATACACAATGCATGAAATCAAGGGAGACCAAGCAGCAGTAATACCTCCACAATGCATAGAGGGTTCTGAGTAGGCAATTTGCTTTTTCTGTAAATCAGAACATTATATTTAGCACATACTGTAGTTTCCCTGTGGGTGCACAGCAATAAAAGTCAAAACAAACGGATACAAATCATTTTTAAGCAGCATTCAAGGCGATGCGTTGCCTGTTTGAAACGACACATTTGTATGTTGCAGGGTAGGGCTAGTATCCACTTCTCCTTTATAATTTGAAAGTCTGTGTTGGTTTATTTTCGCTCTGCTCCATGTAAGACAGGGCTATTTTGAAGCCTGGGGGGAAAAAAAAAGTAACCATCCAGCATGAAATTTTAAAAGTGTTTGGAAAGGAAACTCAGAAGATCTCTATCTAGAAGCCCATTCAATCATCCTTTACTTGGAACTGCTTTTAAATACTCTTCTACTGCAATGGCAGAAACTTCTCCATACCAGCTTTGAAGCCAGATATGCTCAACGTTCATTTTCATGAAGAACCACTCATAGCTGCGAGGCCACTTTCTTACTACCGGGTGCCTGGAAGGACAAAGAAAAGAAAAAAAAAATTACAAGACGTGCCAAAGCATATGCATAGTCTGCTTTTTAATTCAGCCTAGTGTGCTCAGCCAGAGTGAAACCTGAGATCTGAGAACCACCACCATTCATCTTTTTTGCCCTCCCTTGCAGTAAGGTTTATGATCTTCCACACCCCAGTCTGGCGAGAACTGCAACGAAGGCAGCCAGCGAACACCACCTTCCCCCATTGCAGAACCCCATCTCTAAAGGCACATGTTGTTTGGTCTCTAAGTAAGTGAAAAACAGTTGGAGGAGATTCTCTGAACGTGTGTCAGGGTTATGCTTGTATCTGTTCAAATGAAACAGTGTTCTGAAAATACTACATCTTTGGTAGCAGTTGTTGTGGTACGGCAGGAGAGTTAATAAAACTGACTAGCAGGCAGAGCACAGCCTCTTCGAGCTGTTACCTGCTAAAGCCTTCTCGTCCTCTATTTCTGTCTCATTTCTTGGGCCTGCCCTTACAGCTAGCTCGAAGAGACCCTCCTTGCCAGCAATACTGGGTGCAGACGTCTGGTCCCCAAGCCCCCGTGAGTGCCCCTGCAGGGGATGCTGTGGGATGCTCGGCAGCGGTGCACAGAGCGGATACAACAGCTCGAGCCGCAGTGCTCACAGGAGCGCGGGGGAAAGCGGTGCAAGTCGGGGCAGGGTTGGCCCAGTGCCCCTCTGCCCCTGCAGAGGACCCTGCAGAGGATGGTTTGGCAACCTCTGGGTTGAGCTGGGGTTTCCACCATTCTCTGAGTTGTCCCTTAGAGCACCCACAACTGTGGCATTGGGAAGTGGCTCCAGCTGCTGCCGGTGTTGGATGGGGTGAGCCCCGGCAGCCCTCACCGTGTTGGTCAGACTGTTGCTCCCTGACAGTGGAGCATCCGCTGCCAAGGTGCTGGCGGACTCTGGCTCGTGTAGGAATCTGATTTCTGCAAAGTTTGTAAAAAAGGCTTGTGTGCCAGTATAGCCCTCGTCTATCCCTGGTCCCATTTTTGCTATTGATGGGACACCCGCTGACAGTGTCCCACCCTAACCCCTTCCAGCAGGCTAGAGCAAATATTGCCTCTGGGCTGTTTTGGATCCCAGATCATCCCAATTTCCCGGTGGTATTTGACTGACCAGGCAGGGTACGCCTGGAGGACCATCCCTGGCAGCCTGTGTGGGAGGCGCGTGCCCCAGCTAAGGTTCGGGCTTTTCACACCTGTTATTCTGAAGACCCACTGGAGTGCCCCAGCTAAGGTTCGGGCTTTTCACGCCTGTTATTCTGAAGACCCACTGGAGAGCATGGGGTGTGTGTGTATGTGTCCGGGTTGTGCTTAACATCTGTTCACGGGAGACTGTTCTGTAAGTATTACGGCTTTGGTAGCAGTTGTCGTGGTATGTCAGGAGAGGTAATAAAACCTGTAAGCTCCACCCTGCAAACAGGCGCGAGTCCAAAGGCAGCAGAGCTCTGCTCTGTCTCCAAGTGGGGGGCTGTGGCTGAAGAGCACTACCTGTCCTAAGGTGGGGAAGAATCATTAAAGGTAACAAATACACCCTGGATTTATGGAATCTCTCCTTGGAGCCAGGTGAAATATTTTCGTAATCCCCAGATTATAAAGCACGTGCCTTACCAGAGTCCAACACTGACTAATTGCATTTCCGTATTTTGCTGCCTCAGGAGTTAAAAGGAGGTCACACAGCTCTGCCTGTCGTTCCAAGCCACACAGAGGCCAACATGCTTCGTGGCCCCAAAGTAAAAATGAGGCTTGTTACTTCTCAGATTTTCCGTACCAAACGGCCACATCCGTATATTTGTCTCAAACCTGTGGGTTGCACTCTACTGTTACATACAGACCTGGAAAACATTGCTTGCTTGGCAAATTCCACTTCCTCCGGAGGCACTGTGACCATCTGTCCCGTGAGAGTCAGCCTGGCGCACCTTGGATCCTCCGGATCAATTACATTTTTTCTGTGCACAGAGAAAAATGCTCATGTGTAATAGCTTGGTTTCTTTGTTAAGGGTTTTGGAGAAATACGAATTCCTGCTCGCATATAAAAAGCTGCGGTATTTTGTCAAGCCTTGCAGGTCTTTTCTACACCCAGCTGTAACATTGGGGGGCTCTTGAAGGAATACTCACCTGAAAGAGACCTCTGCTGTAGAGATTTGCTTAATCTTAATTTATGCTCTTAAAAACTGGATTAATATATGTTAGATTGTAAAAAATGTGAAAATGGCAGTTTTCCCAGACATATGTACAGACCTCAATTCAGGATTCTGAAGAGAACTAGTGAGACGGTTAGTCTGTGCCTATGCCTACAAAATAAGCGTGCATACATGTATTTGTGTGTAAAACATAAGGTCTTTTCCTTATGCCTATCCTAGAAACTCAATTCTTGTTCATTTTTACCCATTTTTCAACTGCTTTACACCAAAGAGACAAGTAAGGTCTATTAAAAAAAATTCTCCAACTGCCTTCATCCTTCAGACTGAGACAGGGAAGGTACTTGTTTCTTTTTGGCTCTTTCTACACAGTAATAATAAATAACTCCCATTAGTAGCTGCGGGGCAATTGCTGACTCTGACATATACAATACAAGGATATAAATCAACAGTAAATTGACCAGTCACAAAAAAAAAGTTGTATGAAATGACTGCAAAGGCCTCATCCTGGCAAGTGCTGAGCAGCCCCAAGTCCCATTGCCAGCAGTTTGAGACTGCTCAGTATCTCACAGGACTGTCTCCCCACACAAGAACATAAGCCCGAAAAACTACATTAGGAAAACAAGACTGCATTTCTTCTTCTCTGTGTTTTAATCGGAAGCAGCAAATCACAGCAAATTACATCTCATCTGTGTGCGATTTTACTTAAAGATCTTGGCTTGAGCCCGTTAGCCTTAACTGCATGCAATCTGCAATGTTGGGGTTTTTTTGGTTGTAATTCTCAATACGTGTCTATTGCATGCAGGAAACATATGGGCATCCTCCTGCAGCTAATTTAACACCTGCAGATTCCCCACAGATGGTTATGAAAGACCGTGTAGCTCACTGGATAAAGTACCTGCTTTTATAGATAGAGCCATGAACGGAGATACGCAAGGAAGTATCGCGGGCTGATTGATACTCAGCTATGCCCGGTAAGCACTTGGCACCGTCTGTAGCCTGAGCTTCAAAGAGCCATTTGCAGTCACATCATCTCTGGGATGTTTTTTCAGCATCCTGTTCAGTCTGGAGCAGCAGTTGTCTGAAGGGGGTGTTCAGCTTAACGACCTCTGGACAAACTCCACTCGTACTCTTTTTCCTCTACCACGCTTTCTGCATGGGAGGAAGGGCAGCTGCCAAAGATCAAGCTCAAACTTTCTGTTCACATCAATAAATAATGGTCTAATTTTCTCTAGTACATTTTTTTAATTATGAAGTAATAAATGAATGGTGTTCTGAGTACCTGAAAATCTGCATTCCCTACCCTGGCACTGGGTTTATTTCTATCAGTGTGTATTCAGAGTACAAACTTGTCTGCGTAGTCACCTTGGCACGCTGTAGATCCTCAGAGCTAACTCCTACGGCATGCTGAAGATGCAGTTTCACAGCTGGCTTACAGTGGCCTGAGAGCGTCCTGTCCCTAAGCAGCACAGGTCCATGGCCCGGGGACACCCGTAGCTCCTGGCATTTCTTTTGCATAGGCTTTGGGTGTTGTGTGGCCGTGCAGCGTCCACGGTCCAACGAGAAGCTCACCCACCAAAACACGAATAAATACAGGCGAATACAGTGTATGCAGCTGTAGAGAGAGGAGCTGAATCCTACAGACAAAGGGTGTCAGCCGAGGGCCTGCGTGTCCAGCAGCCAGGACAGTGCAGATCCACACTCTTCCAACTGTTGGCCCTGGATAGCAGTCTTAAAGTCCATTTGAAGTGATCTCCTGATCTATTGTTATCTTTTGTGCTTAGTCTTAATACTGTATCAACACCCTCTGCATAGCTTTATATATTTAACTACATGATTCTTAAAAATATGGGAGGGAAGGGACTTCTCACTAGCAAAACTTCAGTTCAGAAGGTTGCTTTAAACTAATAACTGTATATCTGTGTGTATGAAACCATTTCCTCCGCAGCCTAAGAGTATCGTAAAACAACTGAAGAGCCAGGAAAGGCAGGAGTATTTGCAAGTGCCTTTCTTGGGTAAAGCTCCTCAGTAAGATGTTGTTAATTACTTTCAGAGAGGAATTAGAAAGGGATTGTTATTAAAGGATGTCTGCATTTCACAGAGTGGATCAAGGTGGTGGATTTGGGCGTGAGCAGGAGCAGGAGCAGTGAGAGGTTTTGGTCTGACACCTTCTCGAATTACAATTATTTGATCTTTTTGTGCAAATACCTGTTTATTCTAAAAGTGTACTCACTGATTTTGAGTAGGCAATAGACCTGACCTTGCTGTGGTTAAGCAGTGAATCCTGCCTGCCTTTGCTGAGAGGGTTTTGCCTGACAGGACTAGTGTCAGATGTGACTCCTCCCCGATTTACAGGAAAAACTGCTCTCTACATATTTGGCTGACAACAAAACCCACACACTGTACATCCATATCTGGAATGGTTTTATTTCTGTTTTTTTTCCCTGACTCCTCCTTCTGTTTGCAGTTTCCTCTATGTTCTCGTGACACACACTGTGCATCCATATCTGGAATGGTTTTATTTCTGTTTTTTTCCCTGACTCCTTTTTCTGTTTGCAGTTTTCTCTATGTTCTCGTGAGTCAGGGTGTTACACTGATCGACACACACAATACTAATACTATTTTTCCAGTAAAAGATATTAAAACTGAATTTTGCACATTGGAATAATATTCTGGAGAGTCAGTCTGTTTTTCTGGCAAATGAGGCAAACAAATTATTTGTTGAGATTATTATGTTAGATGAAATTTTGGAAGAGCTGAACAGGACAATGATACATTTGAGTTCAGTACGCTGTGTTATTACTGTGTTGGCTTTGCTTTTAGTGCTGCCTCTTATCATAGGTTTTCTGTTTCAGAATAGGAACCTTGTATTCTAATCTTACATTAGCATTAGTATTTTCTTTATCAAAGGAGCCCTTCATATTCTGAAGTAAATCTGTTTCTGCATCGTTTTTGGCATAGTATTTCCCTAATAATGTGTGATTACTTTTATACTTTTTAAACCATCAAAAATCACTAAAGTCAGAGCTACCACTTCTAACTCCATTGTGAACGGGTCTTGAATGTTCAGTGGTGCTACCAGTGCAACTAATGTAAATGCAGGCTTTGCTTCCTAGGAGTAAAGGGATATAGCCAGGGATATATCTCATATTTTTACTAAAGATAATAAAGGGATACCAGGGATAAATAGGTATATTTACTAAAATATTCCTCCCTCACATCTGTAGAGGTCTAGTCAGGCATTCACTAGTCACTTCTTGCCTTCTGTATAAACAAACACATATTCAGCTCTCAGTCATTGGGTTCCTTTTATCTTTATTGGCACAAGAACAAGTAGGTGCGGAGGAGCGGCTCTGTGTAACATTTGTGCGCTGCTGACCGGGGGCGAGGGGGAGGCAGAGCCAGAGGGAGAGACGGCATGGCAGTGACACTGTCTCTCTGTCGAAGGAACCGGAGGTGGCCTCGCAGGCCCTGTCTTTACCAGAATCAGGTCCTCTGTCTCCCTGGAGAGGATTTCATGAAGGCTATGATAAAATATGAACTGAGGGGAAGAGAAAGCAAGGGACTGTGGAAGGAGACCAAGCAATAGGGAACACATTTATTTTTTTATGCTTATGTAAAGTACGTACACTTTGTTGCAGAAATTGAGGGAAGCCAGATTAAAATGGAAGAAGATTCAGTTTATGCATTTCATAAGAACACAGTGCATTAAGAGAGATTATCTTAATTATTCATCTGATTTGTGAAGAGAGAAGAATTGATTGTCTCCGTTCCTCTGCTTACGGTGAGCAAACTAGGTATGCAGAGTTCGACCCGGTCCAGGCAGTTGTCTCTTCCAAGCATGTGAGATGAGCGCATGAGCTGCATTCACTGACAAAGGTACCAGCTTTACAGAGCTTAAGGAGAAGTCTGTGTCCAAGTGAAATATGTTTCCCAACAACGATGCAATGCCACGAAGCGCACTGCTGATGAACACGTCCCACTTATTTTACACTTCCGCGCTTTCTGGGTCATGGTTCAAGAGTGATTCAGAGTAAAGACTGCCACCTACTCATTAAATTGTTTACTACACTAGCCATCTCCTGGATTTTAATTAGAAGGTTCCTATACAACAACTAGCCAAGTCCAGATCCAGTGAACCCATAGTTCCGGCTGATGCAGTTATATTGGCACACAAGGTGATGATATCGGGACTTTGTCTCAACTCCCTTTCGCAGCCGAGATCTCTGCTTTGACTGACGATGCTCTGTCTCCTGGTTTCTGACCAAAAGTATCCCTGAGTATTAGCTTCATTCTCAGCCTCTGCAGTCCGTTAGTGAGGTGAAACAGATCTGGCACAGATCAGCAGTACAGGCAAAACAGGAGTTTGGGAGGCACTTGGGAAGGAGAGCCAGGTGTCCCCGAGAAGAAATCAGTAGGAGGAAGGTGAAAGGGTTCAGTAATGCTCCAGGGACTGGGGTGGGGAAGCAGGGGTCTGTGGAGGGGAATCTCTCTTTTTCTTCTTCCCCAGCCTCCTTTTCCCACAGAGGAGCTGCCGTCCTTCTCCTCCAATCCCCTGAGGAGACAGGACTTTCCATCCTTCCTGTCAGGATCCATAAATCCTCCCCATTTCCCCTGAACGCAGTTCTCCCTGCCCTGCGAGAATGCACTGCTTTTACCTCTCTATTTTTGAGCAGAATGGGAGGTGAAAGAAGTTGGGAAAGAGCTTTCTCCTATTGCAGAGAAGGAGAGCCGGAGAGCCAAGAAGAAAGCCCCAGAGAACACCTTTCCTACATTTTTTTCTACTTCAGAGCATGCAGCTCATGTGT